TTATATTGATTTGTCATGATTTTCGACATTAACATGGCAAAACATTGGGTGTAGAAAAGGTGCCGAAACATGTTCAAACACACCCAAGTATCATGTATGTTATTAGTCATATAATATATATATATATATGTACTAATGCAGTACGCATTCATATCCTCATCAAATACCCATGAAATACTCCATGAAACCCCATGAAACTCTCCAGGAGGAGTGTGGCTCGGAATGCAGAAATGTCTACGCAGGATTTTGCTAAGCCCCCAATAGATCATAAAATGGTGGGGCATTAATCTTAATACTGTAGTAAATTAGAAGACAATTTTTGAATTGTTGCAGGGCTACCGGGCTACCCTATGCATAGATGGAATCAGGCTTAGTGTTTAATTTTACTTTATGTACCCTTTGGTTTTCGCAAATGACAAAGGAACATCAACGTTTAAATCGTGTACTCAACGAATAAATCCTCAAGAAACGGATGCAAATACTGGATGTTCTCTGCCAAATATCATCACCCATCCCAAACAGTTGGTACCAAGTGTTTGATACTAGTCACTGAGCGTGTGTTTTGTTCACTCAGAATTGTGTCACTTGTCCATTTTCCCACGAAGTTCTTAGAGACGAGTGTGAAAAAGTCTCCTTGGATCAAGGAGATTATATGGATGTGGGTCAAAATGGAAGACCGATGTGGGACCACAGATGTGAATGTCTAGTTTAGTATTAACCATCCAATTATTGCGGTACCTAATTTTGACCCATCCCCATATAGGAACATTCTTCACCATAGCATCATGTTGTTGTTCAAGCCAATCAGCATAATCAGAGAGATCAGGGATGATGAGGCAATTTCTTCCTGAAGCCGTCACTTTACCCTCTGGCAAACTAACAGTTTGCGAACTGGAAAATCACCATATAGAATAGGTAAATCAACTATTTCTATGTGCCATGTTCACTAGCTATGTGAAATTACCAGAGGGTATATCCATCATATATCCTAATAAATCCCATTGAATCACCATTGAATCCCATTAAATCCCATTATATAAATCAATTGGGTATTTGAAGTTGGCATTGGGTTTCTTGGGATCCAAATGGGAGAAATCCTCCTCACCACTGAAGTTCTGAAAAAAAACACTTCTCCTTTTCGGTGAAGAGCTGTGCAAAATGGACCTGGTTTTCTCCTTCTCTACTTACCATTACTTACCCTCAAAGGCCGATTCTTGATCCACAAGCTGCTTCGCAGTTGCAAAGATGTTTTTCATTTTGCGATTCCTGTTGAAGTTTAGGTGATGCCCTCTCGAAATTCAACATAGCCATGGAAATCTATGGAACATGGTTCATTTATAGATGTCTGTATATATATATATATGCATATATATAATATATAATTATATGTATGTATATATATATATATGATTTACCTTTAAACAAATGGCCAATCTTCGATACTTATGCTGAATTATGGGTATTTGGGATGATTTTGGCCACATTTTTTAGGCGCCAGTTCCTCATTCTACGAGACTTTGGACAACGGTGATCGCAGGCGCGATTCGTCTGGACCGCAGGCTGATATTGGTATTAGGAAAATTGGTTTTAACCATGGGAAATTGATAAAAACTAATAGAACAATTGATAAAATTGATAAAACTGGTATATTACCAACAAGAAAAGTTTTAACCAACTAATACCATTATTGGAACATTGATATTTAACCAAAAAATGGGAAATATGAAAAATATCCTACTGGTAAATCCGCCCGCACCGAAGGTGCTGGGGCGTGATCTTCCGGATGGCACTCGTAAAAGGTTACAGGTTTACCTGGGGGGGGGGGTCCGTACGTTCGACACTTGGAGGCTATATCGCAAGCCAAGAGGCTATGGATCAATACTAATCAAAAGGCATCGAAGCAAACCACAGGCGCAAAATGGACGCAACTGATTCCGCATGCTTCAGGCTTCAGGACATATAATAGGCTTCCCAGAAAGACATGCCGATGCAGCCGCTGGAGCCGATGAGGCCGATGAGGCCGATGAGGCCGATGAGGCCGATGGAGCCGATGAGGCCGATGAGGCCGATGAGGCCGCTGAAGCCGATGAGGCCGATGAGGCCGATGAGGCCGCTGAGGTCGCTGAGGCCGATGAGGCCGATGGAGCCGATGAGGCCGATGAGGCCGATGAGGCCGATGAGGCCGATGGAGCCGATGAGGCCGACGAGGCCGATGAGGCCGATGAGGCCGATGAGCCGCTGGAGCCGATGGAGCCGCTGGAGCCGATGAGGCCGATGAGGCCGATGAGGCCGATGAGGCCGATGAGGCCGATGGGGCCGATGAGCCGCTGGAGCCGATGGAGCCGCTGGAGCCGATGAGGCCGATGAGGCCGATGAGGCCGATGAGGCCGATGAGGCCGATGAGGCCGATGAGGCCGATGGAGCCGATGAGGCCGATGAGGCCGATGAGGCCGATGGAGCCGATGAGGCCGATGAGGCCGATGAGGCCGATGAGGCCGATGAGGCCGATGAGCCGCTGGAGCCGATGGAGCCGCTGGAGCCGATGAGGCCGATGGAGCCGATGAGGCCGATGAGGCCGAGGCCGATGAGGCCGAGAGCCGATGGAGAGCCGATGGAGCCGATGAGGCCGATGAGGCCGATGAGGCCGATGAGGCCGATGAGCCGCTGGAGCCGATGGAGCCGCTGGAGCCGATGAGGCCGATGAGGCCGATGAGGCCGATGAGGCCGATGAGGCCGATGAGCCGCTGATGAGCCGATGGAGCCGATGAGGCCGATGAGGCCGATGAGGCCGATGAGGCCGATGGAGCCGATGAGGCCGATGAGGCCGATGAGGCCGATGAGGCCGATGAGGCCGATGAGGCCGATGATGAGGCCGATGAGGCCGATGGAGCCGATGAGGCCGATGAGGCCGATGAGGCCGATGAGGCCGATGGAGCCGATGAGGCCGCTGGAGCCGATGAGGCCGATGAGGCCGATGGAGCCGCTGAGGCCGCTGAGGCCGATGAGGCCGATGCCGAGGCCGATGAGGCCGATGAGGCCGATGAGGCCGATGGAACCGATGGAGCCGATGAGGCCGATGAGGTCGATGAGGCCGATGCCGATGAGGCCGATGAGGCCGATGAGGCCGATGAGGCCGATGAGGCCGATGAGGCCGATGGAGCCGCTGGAGCCGATGGATGAGGCCGATGAGGCCGATGAGGCCGATGAGGCCGATGAGGCCGATGAGGCCGATGAGGCCGATGAGGCCGATGGAGCCGATGAGGCCGATGAGGCCGATGGGGCCGATGAGGCCGATGAGGCCGATGAGGCCGATGGAGCCGATGAGGCCGATGAGGCCGATGAGGCCGATGGGCCGATGAGGCCGATGAGGCCGATGAGGCCGATGAGGCCGATGAGGCCGATGGAGCCGCTGAGGCGATGAAGCCGATGAGGCCGATGAGGCCGATGGAGCCGATGAGGCCGATGGAGCCGCTGGAGCCGATGAGGCCGATGAGGCCGATGGAGCCGCTGGAGCCGCTGGAGCCGATGAGGCCGATGAGGCCGATGGGGCCGATGAGGCCGATGAGGCCGATGAGGCCGATGGAGCCGATGAGGCCGATGAGGCCGATGAGGCCGATGGAGCCGATGAGGCCGATGAGGCCGATGAGGCCGATGAGGTCGATGGAGCCGCTGAGGCCGATGAAGCCGATGAGGCCGATGAGGCCGATGGAGCCGATGAGGCCGATGGAGCCGCTGGAGCCGATGAGGCCGATGGTGCCGCTGAGGCCGATGAGGCCGATGAAGAAGCCGATGGAGCCGCTGGGGCCGCTGAGGCCGCTGAGGCTGATGGAGTCGCTGGAGCCGATGAGGGTGCTGGAGCCGCTGGCGCCAGTGGGGCCGATGAGGCCGATGAGGCCGATGCGGCCGCTGGAGCCGATGAGGCCGATTAGGCTGATGAGGCTAGTGCGGCCGATGAGGCCGATGAGGCCGCTGCAGCTGATGAGGCCGATGAGGCTGATGAGGCCGGTGGAGCTGATGGAGCCGCTGGAGCCGATGGAGCCGATGAGGCCGATGAGGCCGATGGAGCCGATGAGGCCGATGGAGCCGCTGGAGCCGATGAGGCCGATGAGGCCGCTCAAGCCGCTGGAGCCGATCAGGCCGATGGAGCCGATGAGGAGTAAATGAATAAATTATGGTACATGGTGTTGTTTTGTATTGGTTTCTGTTGTTTTTTAAATGGAGTATAGTGAGGCGGGGGACCTTTTTAGTGCTATTTTCGATGTGCACAAGACCACCACTCTGCTGTCGGCTTCATGCCGCCAAAACAACCTTAAGCCTTTATAAATGCTTCTTGGCACAGAAGTGTGCGATTGAGAGGCTTCCCTAGGCCGAGAAATATACCCTATACAATAAAGTCACAATTTGCATTGTTCTTTGAATCAAAAAGCATATCTTATACTGTATCTATATGTTTTTCATGGATTAATCTGTTTGCACATATCGAAAGACACGCTACCATGACCACGGCCGGATTTCCTGCAATCATGGTGGTGACGACTTATTCTGCACTAGCTACCTCTTTTGTGCTCCCACTTGCCCGTGCACTATTCGCAGGGCGCATATTTTTGGATCAAACAGATCAACCAACATGAGAAGGCAAAGGATGCATAAAATAGTGTAATTAATCGAAGCGTGATAAGGGGAACGATGCATAAAACAATATATGATATTTCCCTCCACGAGTTGTAGAGAACACAGATCCGCTTCTCTACCATTGGCACAAAGCCGACTTAATTTACTGCCTTGAGACACCCGCAGCCTGCGCGGCGCATGCTGGGAGGCAAGGACGCTTCTGGGTCATGTCTACGCCCGTTTTTTTCAATGACCACAAAAATCAACACCACTGGTCCGCCTCCTATCCAAGCCAGAAGCTGATGTAATGTTCCAGGTTAACGCTAGCCTTTCACTTTTTCACTTTCACAGATATGATTTCTGCACATGTACAATTTTCTGTTTCACGCATGACAGCCGGACTTATCGCCACAGATGTGGCTTCGCAGGTGGCCACTGCGACGCCTCTTCTTCTCAAGGTCCATTCTTGGCACCGCTTCGATGCTGTGGCCGTGCCACACATGTTTTGCTGCATGAACGCCTCAGAACCCTGGATATTATCCTTGTCATGAGCTGGATCTCTCTCTCTCTCTCTATGTACATTGGTATATATATATATATAGTTGTGATAGATAGATAGATAGATCGATAGATAGATAGATATAGATAGATAGATAGATAGATAGGTAGATAGATAGATAGATAGACAGATAGATAGATAGATAGATAGATATCATGTATATATGTAGAAATAGATATGGACATTTTAGGAAACGATCTTGCATCCAAAAAAGACCTTCTATTAAGGACCATAGCTCATGTGATTTGCATTTCCTGCGGCTGAGCTTCATGTCTTTACAGCATAAAGGATGTTACCTGCCTTACCTCAATACTTTTTCCCCTTTCTGATTGGAATCATGGGAAAAGTCATTGAAACCGCTTTCGGCATACGGCATACGCTTCGTTTCGAAATGATACATGTTCACATGTTCAGCAGCACAGCGCTGTGATTACATGGCATGCACCAAAAAAAAAGTTCCTTACTCCTTCGCTGTTTGCTATACGGTGACTTTCAAACATTTTTGAAGCATAGCTGGGCGTCACTTTGCGGGTCGAACCATGTCAAACTTTCAGTCAAGTTAGGGCCACCACACGCTTTTTGCAAGGCCTCACCGAAGCGCTGTCCCAACTTGTTGCAGAGCACATGGCGCAAGCAGATGAAGGCGCGAATACAACCTTTCCGCATCTAGATGCCCTAACATAAAGAAATCGTATTTTTTTCTGCCACTCACCAGGCATTCCCGGAGAGGAAAGCGTGCGTGCACTTCCGGAAGACATGGAAAATTGGATGATGAAGCATGGACAAGCGCGAGCACTCCTCGACATCAATCCGCCCGAAATGCCCGACTTCCAGCAAGCACCTCCCAGTCAATGTCATTTCCATGCTGCGTCGGTTCCGGCGGCAGTCTCACAGCATGGTCCTGATGAGCCATCTATTCTTCGGCATTGGAGCCCGGAATGGCTTCCACGACTGTTCGAAGATGCAAGCCATCTCAGAATCCAGAAAGATGTATGCCAACGCCCCGCCACAATGGCAGAAGAAACCATAGCATTCCGAGACCGAGTCGATCAATCCTTTGGTTGGAAAAGCAAAGTTCTGGACGACCAGCAGAAATCTTATAGAGCAGCAGCTCAGGCCACGCTTCTGCCACTTGCATGCATGCGGATTCTATCGGGTGGTGTTGCGTGTATCAACGGCTTCCCACGCCCAACGAAAACCCATAATTGTGCCCCGTAAAAACATGTCCCTAACAATGGGCCCATGTACGTCACAGCGAAGTATCGGAGCAAAACCGAAGGACCCACATAACTTTCATAAGCTGTGCTTTGGAGCTTCGGTGCTGGTGCTGCTGCAGGGTGCAGACTGCACGTTTGGAGCCTGGGTGCTGGTGCCGCTGCAGGTGGCTGCTGCTGCATCGCGACTGCGCGCTTTGGATGCTGTGTGCTGGTGCCAATGCTGCATGTGTCTGGCGATGATAAACGTCTATGCATATGCCAAAAACAAAGGTTTCGTTGCTCTTTGAGGTCTATCCTAACCAAAACACGTAAGTTGCAAGAACATGCAAGAACACAACCTGCTTGGAAATCCTCTGCGCAACTGCTAGGGCACCCCATTCTTAATGCGAGATTCAAACAAATTGGGCATGACAGGATTGGCGCAATGCATCCCTCTTGGACTGGCAGGGTAGGAAGCCATTGTACCAGAGACAAGCAACGGCAGCTATGGAACAGTAACAGGTGAGGTTAAGCATCATCGCAACTGCAGCAGCAGGACCTTCTATGTAGATCTGTAAAGAGGAGCTCACAAGATCTTCATACAAGAACTTCCTACGCGCACCCCAAGCCAATTCCAAAGCTTCGATAAACGACAGCCTACCGGTATCACCCACATTCCTTGTTTCGACAAGTCTAACGATTGAGCTAGATTTACCCTCCCAAAGAAGCTTCGCTGTAGAGGCCCATCATAGTCAAAGTCACATTGGTTCATGGCATGACGCAATTCTCACAAACAACCCTTCTGCCTTCCGCCAAGGTTGTTGGACACAAGCCCGGACGATGGCAAGTCGGAGCTACTCCACTGCAAACTCTTCGCCTTGGTTGCTGGGGATCTCTACCGCAGTCATGGGGGCCAACTCTTCGAATACAACAATGGCGCATGGGCGCCGGCCTCTCGTGGCCTGACATCTGTGAACCTTGAATTCGTCCTCCAGGCCCTTCGTAGAGCTCAGGCGTATTATTCCATAATGGCCCAGATGAAGCCGAAGAGATGTTATGATGACATTGTCTTCGAGATCAAAGCCATCCAGCAAGTGGGTATGGAGGAGGTTCTCTTGCAATGGCAACTTCAGGATATCATTCAGAGGAAACCTGAAGTCAGAGCACGTGAGTGGCTCTGTGGCCTGTCTGAGCTTTGTCGGACGCTCCGGCACCAATTTGCGGAGCATTCAAGGACATCAAGACTCCCCAAATCATCCACACGAAGAAAGAAATAGAACATGTTCAACCACTCGCAATTTTTGTCCTACTCCCCCTAGTCTAGTTCAGCTTCCCATCCTGTAAGCTTGGCGCCAGGACCATCGTGAAATGCTTCCAACGTTGGGGCGATGAAGAAATACGGGTCAAACAGCAACCAGGGCTCTGCTTCCAGGATGCATTCATCTCGACTGTGGATGGCAACCCGAAACAAATGCAGAAAGATGCCCGTCATGGTTGTTACATAGCCATCCCTACTCCCATCGCCTTTGTGCCCAGCATGGCCACCAGACAGCGATACGCCAGCATCCTCTTGTCTTCTTTTGCAGGCTCAGATGGATTGCAAGTGCTGCTCCTGGTTGTGGCCCGTGTCCGGCAGCCTGACATCTTGCACATTGTTGTTGGATGTGGACATGACGGAAAAACTTTGATTTTTGTCGATCACTTGCAAGCTGTCTTTGGCAGTGCCTTCAGTTGCGCTCCGTGCGGCATGCTGCAATCGGAGCGAGAATTCCAAGTCCAAGGTGCCAATTTCATACATGCAGCCTTCCTCACCTTTGATGAATGCAAAAGAGATTCAGGAATCATGGAGGATATCGTCAAAGTGTTCGTCGGAGGTGGCTGGCTACCCCTCCGCAGAAACCACGAAGCAGAGACTAGATACGGGCATTGGGCATGCACTGGCAAAGTCTGGGCAATGAATTCCGGTGACATCCCTCGTGTTCCAACGGCGGAAGAGGTTTCCCATCAAAGGCGGTTCCGCTGCACCTACATGCGGTCCACCTTCACAGCCTTGGAGGAGGAAGTTGACATCCCCAACAAAGTCTTCCATGCCGACCCTGGGGCCAAGTCCTTTATGTCTTCTGGCGAAGCAGTGTGGTGCTTCTTCCAAGATTTCCTTTTCCCTCATCTTCGGGCAAACGGGGCGCAAACATGCAGTGACAACCTGGAGTACATGAGGAAAGGCACGAGCATGCACAAAGATACCCACTGGTTGCTGAGGAAGATGAACCGCACCACTGACTGCATCCATCCAGACACAGCCCAAGGCCTTGAAGCCCAGAATGAAAGACCTGGTGAAGCTCCTGCAGCGACTTTGCCTGAGCGCATTGTCCGGGAGACTCACGCCTCCATCCACGCCCAATTCTTCTCCGCAGCGTCTGCCTTAGTACATCCGCCAATTTGCTGTCCATTGGTAGAACAATGTAAATTCTCTTCCAACAGTCAAACTCCTGGAGTACAGTTCTTTTTTTAACATACCCTTCGCCGCCCGGCCCATATCGAAGATTTTATTTGTTCGCTTTGCCTTAAAAGCATGCTATGCCATACTATACCTTTCCTTTTGCCGAGGCAGACATCAACCGGATTGTTGTGCCTTCCAATCCGGGCTCTGCTCCTCCAAGACGGCCTGGGAAGAAACTACGGGTGGAATATTTGAAGGATTCTTTGCAGCAGTTTCCTCACTTGATCCGCTTGGTCGACGGTCTCCAACGTGCAGGAGCCCCCTTGGACCGCTTTGAGCGCCGGTGCCTCGATGCTGACAGTTGGCACCAGTGCCTCCAAACATGCCTAGAAAGCCAGAACATCCCGGAAGTGGTTGGAACATGGAATGATTGGCTCTGGCCCAGCGCTGCGGAAGCTTCAGCCTACAACATCGATGAGACACCAGGATTTCCCCGAGGAGACGCTTGGGAAATTTCCTGCCGGATGGATGTTGCTGGCTTGAAAGAGTTTGCGGAGATGGTCCCTGGTGATAAAGGAGAACACGCACGCCTACTTGCAGAGCTTTGTGAAAGAGAAGGCACAATCGAGGGTGACGTGACCATCCTTTCCACATTGGGGCACCAGAAGAAAGTCGCTGGCGCATCCTTGGGGCGTGTTTTCTTCCCCTGGATCAGCTTTCCAAATTTGTCCCGTTCCGCCCGGGACTTTGGAAGCCCGCCTGGAACCAAGGAGTTTGATATGCCCAATGCAGTGGTTCACTTCGCATTGGTCTGGGCAAAGGAATATGGGCTGCCTTGCTTCCAACGCTATCATGCAAACAAAGGGACATGGCGGAAGATCGTCATGCAGTGGTTTGCCCTTGCCGAGCAGGATGCAAAGAAGGCCCTGTTGCAGGCTTGCTTTGGTTTTGCTTTCCCATCGCGTGCGAGTGGCAAACCTGTGATTTGCCCATTGCTTGAAGGCTTAGCAGCAGATGCCATGAGGCTGCGGGCCACCATGTGCGAAAGGCACCCTAGCTTGCTGGCAGCCATGCGGGCAGCTGGCCGACCGAGACCAGAGACTTCCACCATGGCTTTCCTGCTCTTTGACAAGGAAAACCAGACCATGCAAGCATTCTGCAAATTACTGCCAAAGTATGGGTTTGCTTTGGTTGCACCTGTCTTTGATGCAGTGCTGGCCGTGCCACAGAGCAGAACAGAGGAAGATGGCACCGAGAGGGCGCCAAATCAAGATGCTTTGCTCAATGATTTTCGCGACAGCACAGGAATCACGATGCAGGTCAAAACATTGAGCCGCACCAGGCCGCAGGCGACTGTGCCGAACATATTGCGCGAACTCTTGTCCAACAACATGGCCATCCGTATGGACCCGGTCCAGCGCCTACCTGGGCGCTTCTCATGCATTGGCACTGCTCTCCTGAACCTGTTTCCAGACGAAGCCAATGGTATCAAAGAAGCAACCTCCAATTTGAGCAGCCCGATCTCCTACCACCACACCATGGAGATTTGCCCCAATGTTCTCATTGAACCAACTTCGTTCGATCAAGCCACTCAAAGCGGTGACGGGACATGTTTCCTGGTCCATGCGTCAAACACTTGGGATGCTGACGTTGGTCATGCATATGGTGTGAAAATGGTGGAGGCTACCGCCCAGATCTACACCTCGACAGAGGAGGAGTACATCCAAACCAATACGCAATTGTTCTGGCAGAAGCTAGCAAAGACACCAGGCACGTACATCTTCAAAGTCTCCATTATCAGTCAGGATGGGGAACCACAGGCCAAGCGTCGCAAAAAAGATGCGGCGTCGACGACTTCAGTTGAACTTCTTTTGAAAGCCGGTGTGGTGGAGGCTGAGGAGACTTTGCGCCCGGTCATGCCACAAGTTCGAGAGCGCATGTCTAGGGAGGTTTCCCAGGAACTTGCCCGTCCCAAGCTTAGTTACCACAGTTGCAAGGTCAACAGCATCCATGATACTCCATGATGTCAAATTTCTTGTTGTATATGACAAACTTTTCCTCTTTGCTAGTCGCTGGCCTTTCAGACGTTACCCCAAAAAGGCATCACGACAGCAGGAAGCGTCGAGGAAAGTATACGCCTGCCTGTGCAGGATTCATTTCAGAGACAATATGATAATACCAATATCAGCCACCGTAACCTCTAAGCATTTTTGATATCTTAAGTTTCTCAGGTTTGCAGCGCGAAGCTGGTCGATCGAATCCAGAAGCAGCGTATGCTTGTACCATGTGCCCCTTCCGTACATTCAGCCGAAGATCATCCCTCCTCACACATGTCGAAAAATACCACACGGCAGAAAAGGATTTTGTCACCAACAAGCAACAGTTCTATGTCGCATGTGCCATCTTTGAGCAGAAGCAGGCAGGTTCGAACCACATCTGTTGTAAATACACATGCGCACGTGGACATGCCATGCTTCGTTATCCGCCAGGCCTTACGACCTCTGATACCTGGCTGCCATGCAGAAGATAACCTACTTTCCCTGGCAGCAACCTGCATTCGATCTTGGGCAAAACTGGATGCAGACTCGCTCCGCTACCTCTCCACCCAAAATTTTGTGGACATGGCGTTGATTCTCACTGGCACTGGCCCACAATATGTTCTCAAGCAACAAACAGCACAAGCTCTGCGGATCAACAAGATGCTCTACATTAGCAATGATTTCGCAGATTTGGTGCTGGCCAAGGCAATCAAACACCGAGGCAAAGTCCACACGATGTTCAACGACATCACAAGTGATTGGGTCTCTCGAGGAAGCTCTTGCGCACTGCTTGGTTGCCGCAGAGGAGATACCCGCCAGGCGGTGTTTCAAGAAGTCATGGCCTTGAAGCCAGTGCGTGACTTGCATGCAGGCTTGGTTGAAGCTGCCACTGAGCGCCAAGAATGGCTTGTTTGCAGTCATGATGCAACATATCAAGTATTGTTCAGCGCCATTGGACAAGTGCCAATGCAACAGAAACAAGGTGAATTCCATGCCCTTCACACGTTTCTTGGCCGGTCGGGCGCTGTGCCTGGCTTCAGCCTTCAGCGCACGGAGGGTCCTGCTCAGTTTCGGGCGGCCATTGCTGAAGTCCTGCCTCAAGCTGCTCGGGACACGGTCAAGTACATCTTCTCTGATAGCCCTACCTCTGTAGAAGGCGCGGCCGAAGTCTTGCCAAACTTGGAAGCTGTCGCAGAAGATGCTTTGCATTTGGTGCTGCGCGTGGAAGCTTGTACTGGAGAGAAGCGCACTGCCTTGTCCTCATGCTTGCTCAAGATCCAAACCCGCTTCCGCCTGCCATACGCAGCTCCGTTCTTTCGTGGCCATGCTGTGGAAGACCCTCCTGATGCCGGCAACTGGTCGGACAATCTGATGGACAAAGAAGCTACCGAAACAGATTGGGATAAAAAAGCAACCAAACCATACTGCAACCACCAGGAGTATATCAATGACATCCAAGCCCTTTGCACTGCGTTTCCAGACAACATGGGCCACAAGGACAAGAAAGGGCGCACAATCCGCCAGATCTTGAAGGCCGGGGCTTCCTACACTCATTTTCGCTACTTGTGGAACGGATCGCACATCATCTCTGCACTCCACGACGTGCTGCCACCTGCGGAGCTCCAACTCCTGAGTTTTGGCACGTGCAGCAATGAAGCCTTGCACTTTCAATTGAAAGCTTGCCAAGAGCAAATCATCCAGCAGCACATCCAAACCTTCCCACCACAACTTCAAGCTTTCAGCTTGGCCAAGATGTTGGCCCACCATTCGGCCGCATACTTCCACACCTTGGCACAAAGAAAGGAGTCTGAGATTCTCAGCTTAATGCAAGGCTGCTTGAAAAAGGGTTTTCTGCCAGCTCTTGAGGAAGGGCAGGTACAACCCATTATCAGCAGGCAAGACTTGCGCAAGCCAGTGCGCAGGGTGAATCCTGGGAAGTTGGCCGCAAGAAAAGAAACGGCTGCAAAAAAGGCCGCACAATGGAAGAAGGAGACCCGCAACCGACAGCTGAAGAACAAGGAGAAAGTTCAACATAAAGGCGCCTTCAAGCGCACCGTCTTTACTCAACAGAAGTGCCTTGGCAGGCTTACATGCACAGACCCGCAATCCACACTTATCCGTCCTGCACAATGTGCTGTCACTATAGCTTTGTCACTGGTGCCTTTCCGTTGCATGCATTACTGCCTCATCCGCAATATCGGCCAAGTCTTCTTTAAATTCAATCGTCTGTCGCGTGCTCTCCCGAATAATTGCATGCCTGGCCAATGCGCAACGTGTTTCTTAAAACTTTTTTGTTGTGCTCCCACCAGTACGCACATAGTTTAGCAACAAACCATCCAGCTGCAGATGGTCCCTACCTTGATGTCGTGGCCCTTCTACACATTCAAATACCCCAAAGATAAATTGCACCTGCACCGCTAGCAGCCCCAATAGCATAGCCATTTTCATTAAACCGTAAACTCAATCTGCCCCGTCTGCCTACTTGATCACGTTCTCCTACCACGCCAACAGTAACTTTCCCTGCGCCCCATGTTGAAATAAATCAAAAACATGCGTTTTAATTTTACGGTAACCAATGGTAACCAAAGTACATCAAAGTCTGCAGCAACAAAAGGCCACGGGCCCCTACCGCGTATACCTCGGACAACGGAACTATAGCAAAAACTCGAGGCAGATGAAGGCATTCAAATCGTAGCGCGCATATGTTCGATGAGTGCAATTAAGACAACCTGAAAGGATCAGCCACTTTATCCTCCACGTGCGTGCCACTAAACAGCTTCTGATCCACTTGCCACTTCTGCCCCTGCGCTGCAGTAACAACATCAAGCCACAACAGGCCGGAGCTGGGCCGCTGTCCACCCTCGCCAGTGGCGGCGGCGCCCTTGAGAACTTTCCTTCCAGCGCCCGCCGTCCGGAGCTGGGGGTCAAGCCCTCGCCAGTGCCTGGGGTGGATAAATAAAGAGAAAAAGAAAGAGAGAGAGAGAGAGAGAGAGAAAAAAAGAGAGAGAAAAAAAAAAGATACAGAAAGTGAGAAACAAACATCTTGCATGCCAGATCGCGATCGCGAGACCATTACGCCGAGATTCCGCATGTCCACTCCGTACCAGAACTTTGATGCGCAATGTCCAGCATGATTTTCGTGTTGTGATTGCAGGGTTTGATGTGCATTGTCAAGGCATATCTGCTCTTGTTGGCTGTCATTGGATATAGAAAGCTATATAAGATGCTGTGTCTTTGTTTGTTGTTGCTATCCGTGGATCTGTTCATATTTAATCTTTTGTTCGAACGCCATTCCTTTTTCAACAAATCAACAAGTGCGGTGCTGCGAGCCAGGCGGCCAAAACGCAGCGCTGCAGCTGAATCTTCGTCAGCTGCGGATGAACCGCGATGAGCTGCCAAGTGGAGTCAATTAATGTGGCATACCAACTTGAAAAAAAAAACAATTGTGCTTTTGGATATTTGGAGCTCTTTTCAACTAATTTGCAGGCGTGCCCACTTGCCAATTCCAAGCGGATTTAATTAGTTTCCCGTGTGCAAAGTTAAATTAGTGCGAAAATCAGATCGAGGCGGCAAAAAATGAATATGATGCTCAAACACGCTCACACACGCTCACACCTGATACACAGCAGCCTTTGTACTTATTGCACATGCATGTACATGTGCATGAAGATTTGACGCTCCAAAATGTCTGTCCACGGAATTATCAATGCTTATACGTGTTTTGGGTCAGAAATTTCGGCGTGAATGCAAGCATCAGGGAAAGAAAGAAAGAGAAGGACGCAAATAGAACACCAAAAAGTGAGAGGGAAAGAGGGGCAGTAGCATAAAGAATAAATCCAAGGCAATAGATATGTGTATATACTAAATATATTGTTTTTGCATGTATACATATTTGCATATATATATATACTTATACACATACATAAATATATAGTTACATAATGTATAGTCTAGGTATCGTATCTATAGTTCTAGATATACGGCTGCAATGCTTCCTTTCTGCGACCAAGTTAAAGTTATGCACATGGGCAACGGAAGCCCAGTGAATAGTATGAACCAGGCGCGCCAAAGTGCAAAGCACCCATGCTCTGAAAGTGGTGCTTGGCGCCGGAGATAAATCCTACGCAGAATTGCCAATATAAAGGGAGTTGCAGGTTACAGCTACATGTATCGAGACACCTTAACCCATTCCACCCTGCTTACATGCACAAGAAGTGGTGCCGCAAAATCGACGCCAACCGTCAATGGCACGGGGGGGGTCCCATTTTTCGGCCAAAACCTCCTGTTTTTGATAGGTCGTGACGCTCGCCTTCAAAAAACACTGTAAAAAACAGTACGGAAGACACCTGTTCGTGAACGCGCCCGTCCAAAATCGGCAAGCGAAAAGTGAAAAAACCACGTGTTTTTCAACTTTTTGACCTCAATTTTTTGGTTTGCAACATCTTTTTTTGCGGTTCCGCAGGTGGCCGGGCCCGGAGGCGGATTTTTGAGTTTTTGGACCCGTTTTCGGACTGATTTTCGTCGTTTTGTGATAGCAGAAACACTGGTTTTTACAGTGTTTTTCTGTTTTCTGCATGCTTGACGGCTAGCTTCAAAACTTCCAAAAACCTCGTAAATTACGCTGTTTTATGTTACGGTGTGAATGAAAACATCGTAAATACCAGTGTTTTTTGACGTTGGTTAAAAAAACACTGTAAATTACAGTGTTTTTGGCCACCTGACCCTCAAAAACCATGGTATTTGCAGTGGTTTCTGCTTCTCACCGCGCAAAAACACTGTAAATAACAGCAATTTCGCCGTTTTTTCATGTTTTTCGTTATTTTTTGAACTGCGTTGGTCCGCTATACATGGCTATCAAATTCTTCGCGTTTTTTTTTCCGACAATCAGTACTTTCGGATGTTTTTGGTCTCAATGGCCGACATCATTGGCAGTTACGAGCGGCTGCCCAACGATGCGGTGCGGGCGGTTGCCGTCGCGAAGCGAC